ATATAAGTGCAATAATCTTGGACGCGACGTTAAACCCCATTTCACCTCACCTTACCAGTTCATGTTGTATACTGTGCCTTTCAGCATAAATATTGGATTCCAAAATCCTCAATACATTTTGTCAATCTGTTATTCAACCATGTGTGGTACCACATTAATAGTAATTGCTTTTATCGAACACATATTATGCCTCTTGTAGTGCTTACGTAAGACCGGGTACCATGGTCCTCACCACAGATGACTTTAAACCTAGACAGCTATGCTAGCAGTGTTGCAAGAAATGTAAGAAAATATAAATTCTCTATACACGTCTGTGGCACAGTGCTTTCTGGCATATTTTTCGTTTGCATTTCTTAGAATTTGAGGCAAACAGAAAGTACATGAAGATGGCTTGTTTCGTAACCACAGCCTTTGCAAATACACATAGATCAATAACGGGTTTTCAACTCTGTGAACACGAGACATTAATTTGAAAATACACTGCATAACATTTGACCATATTCGAATGGCGATGTATTGTGTCGCATTCACACTAGCTGAAATATTTATTCGACGTCATCTCCTCTTTCGTTGGTAAGAGTTGATACAGTGAGGAGATATACCGACCATATAGAATAAAGAATTGGCTTTGTTCCAACATGGATGAGAGACAGGCTGTTAGATATGTACTTTGGTACTAACATGACTAACTGAAACAATGTGTTTTGGACACGTCACAATCATGAATGACAATGATCTGAATCAGGAAGGAAGGACTATTTTAAGGAAGTAGGATAGTTTATAAATAGGTGACATTCGCGTTCCTTTGTCCTTGTCAAACACAATTCACACGCTATGAATATCTGGTAGTTGTTCAGGAAACATGAAACAGGCTCGCTGACTTGATTGATGCATGTCATCGATCCCAATTGCTTTGATCGATGCTTATGACATCAATAACTGGATTGTCTGGTCAAGACTCGATTAAGTGCGGACCGCCGTCATAGAGCTGGAATATTGCTGAGTGCGGCGCACAACAACAAACATTGTGAAATTGTAGGACTGACTGTCCGTGGGAAAACACTGTAGGATGGCACAACTGACTGTCCGTGGGATAACACTGTAGGATGGTACAACTGACTGTCCGTGGGATAACACTGTAGGATGGCACAACTGACTGTCAGTGGGATAACACTGTAGGATGGTACAACTGACTGTCAGTGGGATAACACTAGGATGGTACAACTGACTGTCAGTGAGATAACACTGTAGGATGGCACAACTGACTGTCCGTGGGATAACACTGTAGGATGGTACAACTGACTGTCAGTGGGATAACACTGTAGGATGGCACAACTGACTGTCAGTGGGATAACACTGTAGGATGGTACAACTGACTGTCAGTGGGATAACACTAGGATGGTACAACTGACTGTCAGTGAGATAACACTGTAGGATGGCACAACTGACTGTCCGTGGGATAACACTGTAGGATGGTACAACTGACTGTCCGTGGGATAACACTGTAGGATGGTACAACTGACTGTCAGTGGGATAACACTGTAGGATGGTACAACTGACTGTCAGTGGGATAACACTAGGATGGTACAACTGACTGTCAGTGAGATAACACTGTAGGATGGCACAACTGACTGTCAGGGGGATAACACTGTAGGATGGCACAACTGACTGTCAGTGAGATAACACTGTAGGATGGCACAACTGACTGTCAGTGAGATAACACAGTAGGATGGTACAACTGACTGTCCGTGGGATAACACTGTAGGATGGCACAACTGACTGTCCGTGGGATAACACTGTAGGATGGTACAACTGACTGTCCGTGGGATAACACTGTAGGATGGCACAACTGACTGTCCGTGGGATAACACTGTAGGATGGCACAACTGACTGTCCGTGGGATAACACTGTAGGATGGTACAACTGACTGTCAGTGGGATAACACTGTAGGATGGTACAACTGACTGTCCGTGGGATAACACTGTAGGATGGTACAACTGACTGTCAGTGGGATAACACTAGGATGGTACAACTGACTGTCAGTGAGATAACACTGTAGGATGGCACAACTGACTGTCAGTGGGATAACACTGTAGGATGGTACAACTGACTGTCAGTGGGATAACACTGTAGGATGGTACAACTGACTGTCCGTGGGATAACACTGTAGGATGGCACAACTGACTGTCCGTGGGATAACACTGTAGGATGGCACAACTGACTGTCCGTGGGATAACACTGTAGGATGGTACAACTGACTGTCAGTGGGATAACACTGTAGGATGGCACAACTGACTGTCCGTGGGATAACACTGTAGGATGGCACAACTGACTGTCAGTGGGATAACACTGTAGGATGGTACAACTGACTGTCAGTGGGATAACACTGTAGGATGGCACAACTGACTGTCAGTGGGATAACACTGTAGGATGGCACAACTGACTGTCCGTGGGATAACACTAGGATGGCACAACTGACTGTCAGTGGGATAACACTAGGATGGCACAACTGACTGTCCGTGGGATAACACTGTAGGATGGCACAACTGACTGTCCGTGGGATAACACTGTAGGATGGCACAACTGACTGTCAGTGGGATAACACTGTAGGATGGCACAACTGACTGTCCGTGGGATAACACTGTAGGATGGCACAACTGACTGTCAGTGGGAAAACACTGTAGGATGGCACAACTGACTGTCCGTGGGATAACACTGTAGGATGGCACAACTGACTGTCAGTGGGATAACACTGTAGGATGGCACAACTGACTGTCCGTGGGATAACACTGTAGGATGGTACAACTGACTGTCCGTGGGATAACACTAGGATGGCACAACTGACTGTCAGTGGGATAACACTGTAGGATGGCACAACTGACTGTCAGTGGGATAACACTGTATGGTGGTGTCACTGGTCAGTGGTATGTGTCTGGGGGCTGGTATGGCCATATGTTGGTGTAATGTGCATGGGGATGGTATTATTGCTACCTGTCCGTATGGTATACCTGTTGGACGGTAGTTTGTGCTACATGTTGTAGCACTGCAGTTTGGTACTCTTGCTAAAAGGGTTGATCCTTTGTGATGTCACGCCTCCCTGAGAGTGGGGTTATCTACAATGTTGATATTAGTTACTCCAGTTATTATGATTGATTTGTTTGATTGCTGTCTACCGCTGCGGCCATTTTCGAGCTATCTATCGCAGCGTTCTGTAAATAACCGAATCTGGGCCAGACGAACCTGTGATTGATGTCATTTGAAGCCTCAACCAAGTCGCCAAGCCACAATTGGACCTATTCTATTCTTGGAACTATTCGTATCTAATCCGAGTCCCGGGGCGGTCGGGTAGCCTAGTGGTTGATATGTGAAGCCCATTTGTGGTGTCCCCCGCCGTGATATGGCTGGAATATTGCTAAAAGCGGAATAAAACATCACTCACTCACTCACTAATCCGGGGGGGCGGTCGGGTAGCCTAGTGGTTAAAGCGTTCGCTCGTCACGCCGAAGACCCGGGTTCGATTCCCGACATGGGTACAATGTGTGAAGCCCATTTCTGGTGTCCCCCGCCGTGATATTGCTGGAATATTGCTAAAAGCGTCGTAAAACCCCACTCACTCACTCACTCACTCACTAATCCGGGTCTGTGTGGAAAACCTGTGGACGCTGTGGACGTTTAACCCTACGTCGACGGGTTCAGAAAGCAAACCATCAGTTAAAATTACATTGTATTGAAATTTTGTTCAATGACACATTACATTTGGGAGTAATATTCCCTGGTTGTTAACAATGTGGATATTCAAATTATCATGATCACTCAAAACATATAGAGGCTAAAGAATAACAATAATAACTTGGCTGTACAAAACCACGATTTACCGTCAGACTGTGATTGAAACATTTGTCGGCACTACAGTCGTAACATATAGTTATTTATGTACCCATAAGAAACATATACAAAATAACTTCATTCATTGGCATGCCTATTCATCACATTCACAATCTGAAGGGCGGTCGGGTAGCCTAGTGCACGTGGTTAAAGCGTTCGCTCGTCACGCCGAAGACCCGGGTTCGATTCCCGACATTGGTACAATGTGTGAAACCCATTTCTGGTGTCCCCCGCCGTGATGTTGCTGGAATATTGCTAAAAGCGGCGTAAAACCATACTCACTCGCTCACTCACAATCTGAAGACAGCCTCCGGTGGTGAGATCCACGGGTTCAGCATATTATGCCTAAGTAGAGATGTCAAACTGCGGAACGATATCTCCATGGTCTAGCACTATAAAACAGGCATACGTCCGGACCAGAAGGCACACACATACCACACACACAGACACATATATACGTACATGTCCACATGTATGTATATATGTTACAGGGAATATGTATAATCAGGGAATATGTATAATCCCTGAAATTTTCAGGGAATATATTTAATGTCTGATTCACTCAGGGAATATACATAATCCCTACAATTTTCAGGTATTACACATATTCCCTGATTTGACATCAAGTTTTTTAGACACATTCCCTGAAATTACTTTTGAGGTTCTTACATAGTCAAATTTGATATAAAAAAGCCAAATTATTTATAAGGAGACAAATTTATTTGACATGATAACAAATACCTTTCACTTAACTTAACAATTAGTCTTCACTGTAATCAAAACAATGCTACATCAAACATAGGATAGACCTAACAAACAATAGCTCTTGTCAATGTTTTTTCGGAATTTCTCCTCTTACTCCATCTTTAAAATGTGAGGTAATTCTGTACTGTACTGGACCGCCTCCGTGGACCTGTGGTAGAGCGTCCGCCCGGAGAGCGGAAGGTCCGGGGTTCGATCCCCGGCCGCGTCATACCAAAAGACGTTAAAAGATGGTACTTGTTGTTACCCTGTCTGGCGCTCGGCATTAAGGGGCTAAAACAAGGACTGGTCGGCTCGACGCATTGTACCCATGTCGGCAATCGAACCCGGGTCTTCGGCGTGATAATGCTTAAACCGCTAGGCTACCCGACCGCCCCAAGCTATACTAGAAGAAGAAAAGGTAAAGCATAGTGTGTGTGTGTGTGTGTGTGTGTGTGTGTGTGTGTGTGTGTGAGCAGTTTTATACCTTGAATTTCGCATATTGTTGCAGCTGCAAACATGTTTTTTACTTCATAGTCTAACATTGATTCTTTGATGGCAGTATATATATGTATGGAAGAAAATAAATGCGAACCATTTGTAGCAACATATAGAGAAGTATGTACGTTAAGAAAAGATATGTCCAATGTGTACCACTTAATGTTTTTTGTGGGTTATGTTATTTCTTTTTGGAGTACACAATCAATAAGTTTACAGAATATAGTTCACATGCAATCTTAAATACATACAAAATGTATCCATTGAAAAACAACAACAAAGCTATACCTGTGTCAGGATGGCAAGACATCCATGTTGAACATTCTCACGTTGCTATAAAAGTGCAATAATAGTCTTTATTCCTCATATCCCCACCTCACCTCACAATTTGAATATACCAATGTAGTTTGAAAACCCACCCTTCTCGACCAGATCAGTGTTTTGATCAGGTATGTGGACGCCGATGGAATCGCGTTCTTCGAGTTTCAAAACGGCGGAGAGAAAAGAGTTTCGCTGTGGAGATGCTGTTCGTGTGAATGAGGTCTTACTCATCAGAAGCTGCTTAGGAGGCATGTTCCGTCTGGTAAGTTGCATTCTGTGTGTGAAGATGGTGTATGTGGAGCCACGTGTCACGTTAAGTGTGATGTGCGAGTACACGAGGTAGATCCCAGCGTCTCGTACCCAGATCGTTCCGTTATCGCATGCGACATTGGCACAGAAGGTCATGTGGTAGTCATCGTGGGCTGTCCATGCTGGCGGCGACCCTGGGAAAGGACAAATACGTTAGAATAGTCTTTGACAAAGTGGTTAGATTTGTCCTTGTTACAGGCGTTAAATGAATGCTCGTAGTGAAGGCATTAACGTGAGTCAGCAGGATTTTAGGTTGTATTACCGATGTCAAACATAACAGATACACATGCATCTCCTTACGTTATTCAATCGCGATCAACATTGAATACATGGTCTGAAATATATATTTACAAATTCTTACTTGAATGATGGCTACTCCTCTAAGGGCTTAACGTGCGGCAAGTGAATAAGACTACAAATAGACACGACTGGTTGAGAAGTTGGGTTTAACGCTGCTATGAACAATATTCCAGTTTTATCACGACGTGTCAGCTGAAAGTGAAAGGAAAGCCCGAAGTCAAGCAGGTCTAAGACGTTTACCACTTTGGTGAAACCAGCTAGCACTGGTATGGCGCAGACAAACCTAGAAACCTATAATCTGGACGAACCGGGATTCGAACCTACGATCACAGATGTTTGGCATGTCTTAGGGACGCAATTCTACCGACGAATTGTGGCGCCTCAGATGAGCGGCAACACGTGCTTCTCTAGGCAAGCGGTATGACTGTTCCTAGTATGAGCGGGCAACACGTGCCCCTCTAGACAAGCGGTATGACTATACCTAGGATGAGCCCGCAACACGTGCCCTCTAGACAAGCGGTATGACTATACCTAGGATGTGCGGGCAACACGTGCACCTCTAGACAAGCGGTATGACTGTACCTAGGATGAGCGGGCAACACGTGCACCTCTAGACAAGCGGTATGACTGTACCTAGGATGAGCGGGCAACACGTGCCCCTCTAGACAAGAGGTATGACTGTAGCTAGGATGAGCGGGCAACACGTGCCCCTTTAGACAAGCGGTATGACTGTACCTAGGGTCAGCGGGCAACACGTGCCCCTCTAGACAAGAGGTATGACTGTACCTATGATGAGCGGGCAACACGTGCCCCTCTAGACAAGCGGCATGATTGTACCTAGGATGAGCGCGCAACACGTGCCCCTCTGGACAAGCTGTATGACTGTACCTGGTATGAGCGGGCAACACGTGCCCCTCTAGTTAAACGGCATGATTGTACCTAGGATGAGCGGGCAACACGTGCCCCTCAAGACAAGCGGTATGACTGTACCTAGGATGAGCGGGCAACACGTGCCCCTCTAGACAAGCGGTATGACTGTACCTAGAATGAGCGGGCAACACGTGCCCCTCTAGACAAGCGGTATGACTGTACATAGGATGAGCGCGCAACACGTGCCCCTCTAGACAAGCGGTATGACTGTACCTATGATGAGCGGGCAACACGTGCCCCTCAAGACAAGCGGTATGACTGTACATAGGATGAGCGCGCAACACGTGCCCCTCTAGACAAGCTGTATGACTGTACCTAGGATGAGCGGGCAACACGTGCCCCCTCTAGACAAGAGGTATGACTGTACCTAGGATGAGCGGGCAACACGTGCCTCTCAAGACAAGCTATATGACTGTATCTAGGATGAGCGGGCAACACGTGCCCCTCTAGACAAACAGTATTACTGTACCTAGGATGAGCGGGCAACACGTGCCCCTCTAGACAAGAGGTATGACTGTACCTAGGATGGGCGGGCAACACGTGCCCCCTCTAGACAAGCGGTATGACAGTACCTAGGATGGGCGGGCAACACGTGCCCCTCTAGACAAGAGGTATGACTGTACCTAGGATGGGCGGGCAACACGTGCCCCCTCTAGACAAGCGGTATGACTGTACCTAGGATGGGCGGGCAGCACGTGCCCCCTCTAGACAAGCGGTATGACTGTACCTAGGATGAGCGGGCAACACGTGCCCCCTCTAGACAAGCGGTATGACTGTACCTAGGATGGGCGGGCAACACGTGCCCCCTCTAGACAAGCGGTATGGCTGTACCTAGGATGAGCGGGCAACACGTGCCCCTCTAGACAAGCGGTATGACTGTACCTAGTATAAGAAGGCAACACGTGCCCCTCTAGACAAGAGGTATGACTGTACCTAGGATGAGCGGGCAACACGTGCCCCCCTAGAAAGGCGGTATGACTGTACCTTTGATTGGAACCATGACTAGATGTGCCCCTGTGGATCCTGAGTGAATGACATCACGGTTGCCCGTCTTTATGGCATGAGGGTCCAATTGGTCCGACCCTGATAACAGAACCCATCAAAAAATATATCCAACAGTTTTCGAGTTGATAACGCAAAACATAATATTTATGGCTGATATACTTCTCAAAATATCTTAAAGAACACCAACATCCCACCACACATGACAAACTAACTATAGTCATATGACGAAGGCGGGTGTTATGTAATTTATTTTAAGAAGAATATTTACTTTCTCTATAATTTTGCGTAAATGGCATGTTAAGTCAGTTTTCCTTTTTAAAAATGCATGTTCTGATTGCAAGTGAATAGCTGGCCCAGAATCAACTGCAGCAACAATGTGTTTGTTTGTTTGTTTACTGTTTGATGCTGCACTTAGCAATATTCCAGCTATATGACGGCGGTCTGTAAATAATCGAGTCTGGACCAGACAATCCAGTGATTGACATAATGAACATCGATCCCCGTAATTGGGATACGATGACATGCATCAACCAAATCCGCGAGCCTGACCACCCGATCCCGTTAGTCGCCTCTTACGACAAGCATAGTCGCCTTTTGCAGCAAGCATCGGTTGCTGAAGACCTATTCTAACCCGGATCTTCACGGGTCTGCAGCAACAATAGCGTGACGCCATCATACTGTGATTTAATCACGGCACAGGCACATGCTACTTATCATGGGTATTGGGCGGTGGGTAGCCCAGTAGTTAAAGCGTTCGACATCCCGGGTTCGATTCCCGGCATGGGTACAATGTGTGAAGCCCATTTCTGGTGTCCCCCGCCGTGATACTGCTTTTAAGTGCTACAAGTGGCGTAAAACCATACTCACTCACTCACTCACCTTCATGGTTATTTTATTATTTATTTTAATTATCACGAATTGATGTCAAAGATTCAATTCAGCAGAAATAACAAGAGACGGGGAATTGATTATCACACTCTCATTAGAATGTACTGGGGAAGGAATATTTAAATGTATGGTACTAAATTTATAAAGGTCGCTTAGTGTCTTGAAAACTACACTAAGACACATTGGAATATGACATGACGACTTGACATAGCTACAATTAACAGGGTTGATGTATTAATTTTACAAACCTGATGTTCGTCTGGAGAACTCGTCTACGATCATCGGAAATATAGTGTACTGCAATTCACTATTTAATATAAAACCTTAAAGCCAGACAATAACCATGCTGTATCGTCCGACGAAACAGTTTCCATTGGCAGATACCATGAGAGAGAGAGAGAGAGAGAGGGGGATAGAGAGAGAGGGAGAGGGAGAGAGACAGAGACAGAGAATGAGAGAGAGACAGACAGACAGAGACAGAGAGACAGAGAGACAGAGAGAGAGAGAGAGACAGAGAGAGGGAGAGAGAGAGATTTCAGCAAATCCATGATTAACGTAACAGGCGACTAACGGGAATGTGGTGGTCAGACTAGCTGACTCGGTTGGTGCATGTTATCCTATCCCAATTGTATAGATCGATGCTCTTGATGTCAGTCACTGGGTTATCTAGTGTAGACTCGATTATTTACAGACCGGAACACTCGTATTGTTGAGTGCGGCGTTAAAAAACAAAATAACAACCACAAAAGTGGGACAGACAAGGAATACTTTCGAGATAAGTAAGTTATTGATTTCCTCAGTTACGCTTCCTTGAAATTCTCAATTTAAACACGGAAGGAAGAACATGTATGTTTGTTACAAAAATAGCACACTTCGCTGATAAATAGAACCAGTTATATCAGAAAGGATTGATTGATCAATGAATTTACTGTTGATGGAAGATTGGAAAACATGTTTTTGTACAAATTAAATAAGATGAGAGATGCTGATGACCACCCGCCTTCCCTCAAAGGGGAACATTAAATATATCAACTCGACTATTCTCCACTAACTGATATTATCAATAAACATACAACCAGCAAAGAGTGTAATAAGACGGTATAAGTATTTATAGAATTACCTTCTTGAACATTTCTGTGACGTCTTTCTTTGACAGCATAAATGATGCGCAGAGGTTCGAATGACGTCATAGGGAGTGTCCTGAGATTCGACCAGTGGACCCAGCTGACCACAAGTAAAACACACATCAGCATTTGACCCCACATGGTCAGGCTGAACAGAATATGCGTCCGTGTTCCTTTGGTGAGACAATCTTGGCTTCAGCGTGTGGATGCCGAAGGTGACAGATAAAACAACATTGAAGATCAGTGAGACGGCAACGAGGATATAGAGCAACGCAATGTCGTAGTGAAGGACAACGCCCAAACCTGTCAAAACGACCCAAGGCCAAGATATATCAATCACAAGGTCAAGGTCCATATGCGGAAGAAAACGTATTGTTTGTGGATCACACTTTCAGTCGAAACTGAGGCGGCTAAAGAAGAGAGAGAGAGAGAGAGGGAGAGAGAGAGAGAGAGAGAGAGAGAGAGAGAGAGAGAGAGGGAGAGAGAGAGAGAGAGAGGGAGAGAGAGAGGGAGAGAGAGAGAGAGAGAGAGAGAGAGAGAGAGAGAGAGAGAGAGAGAGGGAGAGAGAGAGGGAGAGAGAGAGGGAGAGAGAGAGAGAGAGGGAGAGAGAGACAGAGACTGTGCTTGTACTAGTCAGGACTACTTCCGGGTTCATTGTGACAGTCCACGGAGATGCCATGCCGCATATATTTACATCTCACATCTGTACGTTAACATTGACATTTGGCTAGTATACGTGTTATAAATCTAAAAAACATTCAGTTTATTTTGTGAGACAAAAATAATTAAACCAGATTAAAATGCTACAATGTTCTACAATTGCCTTCATTCGGCAAAGATAAAAATAGCAGTTACATCATTAAAAATTAAGCGAGTTTGAGATGGCTACTAACTTTTAGGCTTAAATGTGTCATCAAACAGTGACACGTGTTTATTCATATCGTCGTCACCTGACCTAATGTGTATTATTGTTCATAGTGTAGTTCGAATAGTATAGGATTTCCTTGTTTCCGTATATGTTAACTAAATGCTGACTGCATTTACTGCTTCGTGGCTACTCGTCAAGGTGTTGACGCTTTAGGTTTAGAGTGAACTTTGCCTCATATTGCAAGTTACATTTATTTAAAAACTAATCGTTATTTACTGCCTACGTGATCTAGCGGATGGAGCGTCTGTCCTAGTAAAGGCGTTTAGAGGTGGTACACTGAAACAGTATACTGAATGGTGCATCCATGTTTAACTACATCATTGTGTACACACACACACACACACAAACACACACAAACACACACACACACACACACACACACACGTACATATACCTACTTGTCAAATCCTTCACGCCTCCTTGACGCAGGACTACGTTATGAGAACCACCAGAAGGAATGCTATGAGAGGTATAGGAACTGGATACAAGATTCTCTTGCCAACTTGGAATACAGTCATCACTGAAATATCACCACAAACCATCTGCAGTAGATATAATGTCACTTGACATTTTACTTCGTTGTGAGAACCACCCTTTGTGTGTGACATTCTGGGGTCCGTCTGTGTAACATTCTGAGATCCTTTCTATGTCCTTACTTTTACATCTGTAATTACATGTTTGAGTGTTGTGTTGTTACACCTTTAATGTAACAAGGCTGAGTTCTATCTTCTTGCAAATTATGTACAGCATCTCCAACTGATATGGCTGAGAATAACAACTGTGACTCTTTTTATGTGTCGTCCCCTATTTTTAAGACCAAACAACTGTTAGAAGAAAGACATGTCTTGAGGACATTCCTTCAATTTCTTTGATAATACAATTCACCAAATAGATTACTAATGCCTCCTTTTTATACAAGAAAGCCCATGAATCCTGTTTATTGTAAGAATGGACAAGCACAACCGTCTCTATACTACTTCACTCTAATGTATGCTGACAAAATCCTATCCTGAAGTACATGTACATGAATTAGATCACTGGAAATCCCAAGAAGCGGGGTTTACTGTGATTATTAACATGTATGGTATTGAGAAACGCTTGTCTTAAATTTAGAGGATGGTTATCAAGTGGTACTCTTTCGTTACACAACAGTTACACCCTTAGTCGTTTTATCGGTCTTTCTTCTTGTTATAATATAATGCAGAGGGAGATAGTGTACGAGTCGTATGTCTGTCCGTCATTTCGTACCAAACGTCGGATAACTGTATATGTTTCAACGATTATTGGCAGCTGTAGCAAACAGAACCTGAGGTGGTGCCTTTTTCTGTTTGTGGATTTTTGGCATTTTTTTTATTTTTCTCCATTTCCATGGAAACAATTTGGACTGTAAAAGACTTAATCAAACATGTTTTAAACAAGGGCTGAAGAGGTGCCTTTTGGTATTCAAGAATTGTTGTCAGGAGGGATTGTTATCTTATGATGACTCGTTTCCATAAGTCAACATTTCCCTCCAAAAATAAGTTGCAGGTTATTTGCACTCCTCCATTCTGGTACTTTTATTGAAAAAAGTGTTTTCGAAAAAAAAAAACCCACAAAATTCACCTTTGAGCAATGGTGCTTCCCTTCGTCTAGATGTTTCGTCATGCATATGAATCGGAATTTGTTCGATTTGGCAAAGTCAAAACAAGGCAATTTTTGCCAAGAACTTAAGCTTCAGCTATATTGATAATCTTATATCTTCAATAACAATCGAATAGCCAATTCCCTTCCACTGATTTACCCACCTGAACTAGAAATGAAAGAGACCAGTGAGACCGCCTCGTCTGTTGCATATTTAGATCTATGCATAAAGATTTAGCGTGACAACTTTCTCAATAAGATGCATGACAAGAGGGATGACTTCAACTTTCCCTTCATTTTGTCGAGCAATATTTCAGCAGCTCCAGCCTTTGGTGTTCACTTTTTCGCAACTTTTGACATACAATCAAGTCTGCTCTTTCTGCCATGATTTCAAAGAGCGTCATACGACTCTTGCTCAAGTTGTTTGATCAAGGTTACAACATGCAAGGCCTCAGTAAGGCT